CTCTCTCTCTCTCTCTCTCTCTCTATATATATATATATATATATATATATATATATATATGCAACGATTATTTTAAAAAATGATAAATATTTGAAAAGTAAATAAGTGATCATAATCCTTTATATGATCAAGATCGGATTTGACTGGTCAATAATTACAGTTTTAGCTAGTCAAAAATTGTGGCTATACGAAAAATAAAGAGACTAGTTTCGTAACTTTTACAAATATGCGACAAACGGATTCATATATGAACATATGAGCTCGTATAATTCACATATAAGATATTTTAAGTGATACACATATGAACCCTTGTGATTCACATACAAACTAATTAACTGATTCACATATGAACTAATTACTGATTCATATATAAATCTGTGAGTTCATATATGGATCGGTTAAAAAATCAACATGTGAACTAATTAAATGGTTGTCATATGAACATATAGTTCATGAGTATCATATGAGTTCACATATGAATTCGTTTGCCGCCTATTTGTAAAAGTTACGGAACTACCCCTCTATCTTCTACATATATGCGAGGAATTGGTGTTTCATGGTTAAAAACTGCAAATGGTGACCAGATGAGGGAGTTGATCACTTCTTTACTTCTCAAATATTATTATTTCTCAAATATTTATCACTTCTCAATATTTTGTAAACCAAGCCATTTCGTGAAATGGTCGATTTTGCCGAATAAGTGTTTGATAAACGATTCCTAAACCCACTGGATGCACCCCCTAAGCATGACGAAAGAAAATTAAAAATGTATGTATTAAAATTTCATATTTTTTGAAGGTGTCACCCTTGAAATCATGCATGTCTGCCAGGTGTCGCTATTTTTGACATTACTAGTGGTCCTTCATTCACAGCAAACTCCTGCTTCTACAAACACAAAAACGCATCCGTTAAGGATTACAGAACGATCCATATGTATGTATGCAGGTAATGTAAGTATATCCACTTTGTATATTCAAACTCGAATAACCGAATCAAAATCAACAAATGGAGACGACGAGGAATCTCTCTTCAATTGCCGACGACGTTCTTCAGCGATGTGCCTTGTACGTAACTCATCAATACCTTTTTTTCTTTGGGATGGATTGAGGATTTGGTGAATATTTTGGATTTGATGTTGATTTTTTATTGGATTTGTAGGAGGTTAGAGACGCCTGTGAACGAATTGATCAAAGAATTTGAGGGTGGATGGAAGGGGGAGAAGGCAGAATACCCGAGGAAATTAGTGGAACACGTCTCCTCGAAAGCGCTCTATGAAATATGCAAGGACGTCGAACAAGCAATTAGGGAAGGAACCTTCAGTAAGTTGACCTTCGATATGATGCTCGCTTGGGAGACACCTACCACCGCCGATGAAGAATCTCGTACGGTACACATGGTTTTCTCTCTGTTCTCTTATTTTGTACTATTGTTTGTTTATTGTGTTCAATAGGCAGCAGATTTAATCTCTGAAATATGTAAACTGGCCTAGATTCTTTGGCTCCAATTGGAAAAGAGATTCATAGTTGATTACAATTGTCATAAAATGTTTAGGAAGGCAAACTACGTTTACATAGAACAGATACATGGAAATGCAATTACATATGGATGTCTAACTTATTGATTAAACTTTTCGAACGACAAATTTGAAATAAACCCTTGACTTCTGAAAGTTCTTGTTTCAACTTAACTGATGAGCTGAAAATTCCATAGCATTTAACAAGCATGGTGCTTGAGTTGAAACCTACAACAGAAAATGTAGAGATAACCACATGCTGAATAACTGAACTGATTTAATACCTAAACGTTTCCTTTAGTTTTAAGTTGCTGGAGCCTGGAAGATCATGAAGCCAAAGGTAAACCCGTATGAAACCTTTGTGAACATGAGAATACCACTAACTGTATCTATGATAGCCACTAGATTAAAATACTACTAATGAGGTTGTGGATCAAAGGAATGTGGAGAGGAAGCCATACAGAGGAGGATGCCGGAATCAATGAGGGTAGAGTTGAGGTGTGGGTAGAGTAGAGTCAGTGGTACCAGTGAATTTGATTAACATTAGCCTATTTCATTTTCAAAACATTGTAAAAGAAAAGAGGCATAGGGTTAGGCAACAATTAATTATTCAACCATAAATCCTATGTCCACTATGGTCCTTTGCATCTTGTAGCCAAGACAATGAATGTAGCCTTAGTAGTGGACCATGAAAAGCAAGCTCGTTAATGCAATAGTGAGCTTGCATCCAAAAATCCGTATAGCAGTCATGGTCAACAATTTTGCAGCAGTTCTTGGTTGTTTGGGAGTGCAAGAAATAAGGTCTTTTGTGGGTTAAGTCTGGACCTTTCCTTGGTTGTCTTTGGTAAGTGCAAATGTTTTTGAGTAGCTAGCTCAGGTGCTATTGGAAGCATTTAGCAGAAGTAGTGCAAGTTGTTCCCCTTTAGCTCCTTTAGGCGGTAAGTTTTTGACTCTTAAGCAGATATGGATCATTTAGTTGGTTGCAATATGCTAGTATAGTAGTATGTATCCATGCAAATAAAAATTTGCATGTCAACATTCTCGATGTATTTCGTATAGCCCTATGCTTTTGCAATCTACTATAAAATTCCGTTAAAAGAGTTGCCCCACCAACTAGGGTAAAAGTTCCCCTGCTTGTGAACTTGGAGCCTCCTATGCAATTAATCCACCTTGCATTAGAGTATCCTTCTAGAATGCTAAACAACATGTCATACATTGGCTAGTTCTAGCAGACCAGTTTTATTTACTACTTAGATACCTGTTCCATGTTAGAATTCTTTGAAAATAGGTTAGCAGTGAATCTGTTGAGTTGACACATGCTAGAGGCTATATCTAATTAAGCACATTGGGTATCATATATAAGGCTCCTAACAACACTCATATTCAATTGTGCAAGGGCTGTATCGGTATTCTTTGTTAGCTTTGAATTAGGTTCAAGAGGATTGATAAATTCATCAAAGCTCATATGTTTAAAGTTCCTAATTTTTTTACAATATAATGAGACTAATTCAAAGGAAAGTATCAACGTGTTTTTTCCATTTTTATACCCAAGATGTACTTTTCACTTCTTCCAAATATTGCCATAAGTATTTTGAAGATGTCCTTTACTCTATTCAACCCCACCATGTTTGTACTTATGATCATCATAGAAACCAACTGACTATTTGTCTGCAAACAGAAGAGTTGATGATATTGTGACTATTGTCAAAGTGCTCATACCTTACTTTGTCACTTGTTTTAGACCTTATTATACAAGCTTACACACTTTGGCCCCTTTGTCTGTGAACAACGAAATCTTCTGGTTATTCCATGTATATTTGTCCAGATTTGTATCCTAATGAGTGAAAAAATCTAGAGAAGTAAGATCAGTTAGAGTTTTAGTAGAGATAATATGAACGATCGGTGCACAAGGATCAAAGAAGTTTAAACCCGTTATTTCCAAGATCAGTTAGAGTTGTAAAATATACACCTTAGCTACTAATATCTCCTTAATGTCAAATATTGAAACCTTAGGGTTATATTTTCTTCTAAATGCCAACATTTCACTACTGAAAATCTTTGTTAATTAAACACATTAAGGAGAAAATAGAAATGCCAAGATAGTATCTCGTTATCCTTTTTGTGGAACTTCACCAATGGTTAGGCATGGTTGTTAGGAAAAGAAAATACACAGAATGTTGCATATGGCCTTCGAGATTAGTTTTTTATTTATTTTTAAAGTATATAATATTTATATACGGCAAATGCAACAAATAAACTCACACACCCTCCTCACCTATGGTGAGGTTTGAACCCCTGACCTCCTAGAAGGACAAGGGTTACGATACCGCTAGGCCAAAGGCCCTTTGGTACCTTCGAGATTAGTTGATGTCTTGTTCTTAAACAAAGTGTCTTTTGAAAGTTGTTTTTGCTTCTAACGGCTATATCTGTTGGTATTAGGAATGTGTGGCCAAGGAGAAAGAAGAGAGGAAGAAACCAGCAAATGAAAAGCCGCCTAACAAACACGATGAAGTTCCTCTGTTCTATTCAGACATCATGCCACTTCTTGTAAGGCACCTCCTTGCATTCACTTTTTGTTCAAATTTTAACTTTGTGCATGCAACCATTTTACATCTATTTTTTTAACAATACATATAGAAAATGTAATCACATTTCCAACATACAGCGCCATGCAAAAGTTATTAACTGATCATATTTCTTATTTCTGTAAGTAGCTTATGGTATCCTTTTGTAAATTCCGTATGCCGTGTTAGTAGGTTAATGATAAGCCGAGTGTCGGAGAACGCGCATTCGTGTGGTTGGGATTATTAGTGCCTTTGGTGGCTGATTACATTAATGGGAGGTTTACTTTTGAGACCCTAACAGCATCTACAGATAACCGTCTTCACTTTCCTGCTTACAACAAATTCCTTCAAGAAATTGACAAGTAACTCATCTGAATCTGATTCTGGCTTTTGCATTATGCATGCAATCTAATCTATTTTAATGCTGAATAAAAGTATTAGTGGTCAGAGAGGAAATATGGAAATATGCAGAACACAATATATCTATCTTAATTTGCTTTTTCAAATTGGCTGATCGCTGTTATTAGATGTGTAAAACATTTGCAAAAGCAAGCAACACCTAGGAACGTGGAGATGGCAGATGATGAGTTCATTCTGCATGTTGAGGGAACTGCAAGTTCACAGAGAGTAATACGCCATATCGGGAAACAAAGTTGGCCTGGTTTGTCTTGATTTTCTTTTTACTCTCTTTGTGACTTCTGCATAAACGTTTTATCTTGAGAATGTGATCTGATACATCCTTCGTACCATTCTCATTTGAATGAATTTTCTAGGTAGGCTGACGTTAACCAATTATGCACTCTACTTTGAGGCCTCGGGATCAATGTCATATGAAAATGCATTCAAGCTTGACCTGTCAAAGGACATCGATCAGTCAATAAAACCAGCAGCCACAGGCCCCTTCGGTGCTCCTCTTTTCGACAAAGCCATTATTTATGAGTCCGCTGAGCTGTGAGATAAGTTCTACGATAATGATAGCATTTACCTGTAGTATGCTGTCTATCTTTCTTATTTATCTACTTCGTGCTGGATTATCTGAACATCATCTCCACATTGATGGGTCCTGTCCATACAGACTATACTAAATTTTTCATATTTCAATTTGAAATTCTTAAGTATCCGAATAGATTGAGTTTTTTGCTTGGAATTCTTCAGGGAAGAGGGCTTCCACATTGAGTTCCCAGAACTGACTAGCTCCACGAGACGTGACCATTGGCTTGCTCTTGTGAAGGAGATTATGCTATTACATAAGTTCTTAGCGAAGTTCAAGGTGGAATCTCCTCTACAAGCATGGGAGATACATGCAAGGACCATATTAGGGATAATAAGGCTCCATGCAGCCCGAGAAATGCTCAGGATATCTCCACCTCATCCGAAAAGTTTCCTAATTTTTGCCTTGTTTGACGAGTTGCCTACAGGAAACAATGTGCTAGACGAACTTGCTGAGAGCTTAAAATCAGTGAAAAGTGGACACCCTTGCAGTGGTAGCTCGATATTACGGAACTTGAATGTCTCGCAGGGTTGTATCCCTTGTGCAGAGTCAGAAGTAGGAACTGAACAATCTGAAAATGCAAGTAATCAACCTGCAAATCTATCGTCCTTGGAGACAGCTGTTGAACAAGTTAGAGAGGAAGCAAAAGAAATCAATACTGCCAAAGCTACTGCGGATGAGCTGAAAGAGGATGGGATTGGTGATAGTGCTCTTGTATTGATGGTACAATTCTTGAATATCTTATAGCGTGAGTCCTTAGTAGTGGTTATCAGGTTTCACGTGCACATATGTGTGTATATTACCTTCAAGATTTTTAAACCATTTCTTTTCATAAGTATCCACTATTTCTCCATCTATATAGACATTAATCGGGTTTTAAATGTTCCCCTTGTTTTCATGTTTGATTTTGGTTGTACAGGAGCTCGTTGAGCCATTAAAAAGTGCATTGCCATGGTTTCAAGAGGTTATCAAGTGGGAAAGACCTGCAACCACCATTATAGTGATTGGCTTTTCGCTACTGGTTGTCTACAAGTACGGAGCTGTTTACTTTCTTTTATATTAAGCCCTCTATAGGTCGAGTCGTCTGTCTGGATAAATTTGTCCATCTGAGGAAAGGGAAGGCAAATATAGAGGGTTGGATTATTTCTGGTATTAATTATGTATGGTGTGGCTTAATTGGGACAAGTGAGGGGTCCTGGCTTATTCCATATAACCATTTTAGCTTAATGGCTTAACAATTAAGTCGTAAAGAAACTCTCCTGTATGGCTGAGCGAATTAGCCGCCCAGACCATTAAGCTCATTAAACTGTTAAGTAAACAGCCCCTTATGGAATCAAAGTTTTCCAGTTGTCTGAAAACTGCAGCATCTCTATAAAGGCACATTTTAGTTTTTGGTGCAAATTTAATTGTATTTTTGTTGTTGTTGTTGTCGCTGCAGAGAGTGGGTTGGCCAGGCCATAGCAGCATTCTTAATGTGTATGGCTTCAAAACTGATTTGGGCAAGACAAAAGAAAGTAGGCAAGCGAACCAAGTTTGTTGTTTGCACTTCTTCGGATCAGACAATGATGGATAGTATAGTGGCAGCACAACATGGAATTAACACTGTATACAACATTCTGCAGCTGCTCAACATTTCACTACTAAAAATATGGTCAATATGGCTTGCCAATGCACCCAGGGTATGAAACTATTTTATTTCCATTTGATTACGAGCAAAACCAACCGGCCCCACACGGAACCCGCCCCCTAGGAACCACATGTGAGGAGGTATTTCTGTTCAAGCCCGTCTCCTTCAAGATTCAAACTTGAACCTGTTGTGTATTTGAGAGCAAAGTCGCTCCGCTCCTTTGCCAACTGAGGTTCACACCCCAGGGCAGTTCCATTGTGTTATTAGTCTCGTGAATCTGTTGTTGGGTTTGTGCACTAGCTACATGTTTAGATATTGAATTATCGGCCAACATTTCTAAATTCTATCCAACACTATCACGAGCTGCTGATGTTTTTTATGGGTTTGTTTGCAGCACACAGACGCGGTGATCACTGCCATGATTTTAAGTGCAGTCGTATTAGCAGTCATCCCTCTGAAATATATGATCATGGGAGTCGTGTTATCGACGTTTGCAATGACGTTGATATCGGGAGACAGCAAGGACAAGAAAAATAAGATGGGGAACCGGCGATTGGAAGGATGGTGGGACTCTATCCCAGTTATCCCGGTTGAAGTTGTCCAAATGCCGAAAGACGATTCAGGCCAGAAAAATGAGTAATATTCTTCTCTTCTACTTTTTCATAATAAGTTGGAGTTATATTAGTAGACATAGGAGAAACTCTTGACAAAATCTTATAGGCATTTTTGGCATAAATTTGTTTGAAAGTTAGCTTTTTGTGTTGACCATGTGGATAATTGATGTGTGTCGAATTTCCCATGTATTTTATGATCGAATCCTCTACAAAATACCCGTTTTTGTGGCTAAAAGAACCCACTAAATGTGTTTTTATCGTTCCATTATAGGTTAATGTAATAGAGAGAACGTGAGGAAAAATATTCAAATATTGGCTTTTTCGTGTATTGTCCCTTTCTGTGTCTGTTGGGTTAGTAGGTTATACGTCTCTTGTTTCATCTCCGACAGTTTCTTTACAATTTCTTCAAAATGAAGAAAGCTTTTAGAGGCAAACGGATACCGTTTGTGATTCGTGGATCCCCGATTAATATACAGGCTCGAGCTCAAACGAGACCCGGGATTAGTCCAAATCTTGACTCTTAACAACTTTTTCAATTTAAAGATTCTAGCATTAATTATGTTGTTAAAATATTTAAAATTGTTTAATTGGTAGGAGTAATATTCTTTTTTAATCTTAACTAGTATTTAATTTTAGAGGGTTATTCAAATTTACATATTTTCAAACCATCTTTTTTGGTTTTTTGTTAAAAACAAGTCATATTTTACAACAATAAAGGGCCTCATGCCAATTCTGATTTTGGTATAATGAAGACAATTGATAAAATGTGAAATATAATTAAAAAAGTTTATATTGTAAAATAAATACATATAAAATAATAATGTTATAAAATAAATATATGTTAATCAATATATTGAATTATAGTCTTAAATGGAATAAAAATCATGTAAAAAGAACTCTCCCTCAATTATAGTTAATACAATTATCTTTCATCAAATGAATTCAAAGGGCCGTTCACCAGACGCTTATCTGGGTTAGCGTTTGCTTATTAAGTAACATTACCTTACCGAATGAATATGATAAGGAACAAGAATCTTATCTGGTAAGAGCGAGATAAGAACCAAGAGTCTTACCAGGTAAGTGAGAGTGACGACTCTTACCATGGTAAACGCATACCGGGTAAGCATTTATTAAGTAAGTGTTTGACAAACAGTCCTTATAGCTAAGAAAAAACTTCTTTTTCTTGCTTAATCAAATGATATTTTAATATTCTACACAAGATTATACTGAGAATGAGAAAAATATATGCAAATCTTAATTAAAAAATAAAATCCAAAATTTATATTTAAATAAAACAGAAATTGTAATTATATGTAATTCATATATATATTGATACATAAGTTCTTACACCGAGGAAATTATCTTTATTTTACTTTTTAGGGGTTAAATTAAGGGAAAACCGTCAAAAAAAAAAAATTAAGGAACACTCTGGTAACCGTTTATTTGGATGGAAGCCAAGAAACAACTTCAATTACTTATATATACATATGCATATTATCCAGATAAATGGTTAACAAAATATTCCTCAATTTTTATTTTAAAGGTTTTTCACTTGAATCTCCTTCAAATAAAATAATCAAATATTCGTAAACCGGACTCGAGGACGGACATGGACAATGAAAAATAAATATGGACAAGTCCGCCTAACCTGTTTATGTTTTATAATTAATATATTTTTTTACCATTTATTAAGAATTATGCTAGTATATTTTAAAATTAAATTATCAAAGTTATAGGATGGGAGATGGGACTCTTTGTTTTTTCTTGAGAACCCAAAAGGCTCTAGATTGTCTTTGTTAGCATCCTTATGTCAAAAGTCCTAATCGCTCAACAATGGATAAAGTCAGTAGTTGCTTAAAGTTTTAATTGCAACGATGCGTTTTTCCTTTACTTTTTGGTTCCACATTTGTTAATTATGAGTTACACTTTTTAGGTCCGTTAGCCCGTGGGCAAAACCGATCCATTTATAGGGCGGACAATGACAAGTTGTCAATTCCAAGAAAAGGGCTTGAGTTTACAATATTAGACCCGTTGGACAAAAAAAAAAAAAACAAGTTAGTCCTGACCTGGACCTGCAAATGATCATCTCTAATGCTAGTATAAATGTTTGATTCAAGAGTTGGTTTCCGGTAATAATATTAGTTATCCTGAGAAAGGTAAAAAAGAAATATTCACCATTTGATCAATCCTAGTTGAAGATCAATTAAAAATACCTTTCTAAGCTAATTCATGGGTTATTTTGGGACTTAATTTGAACCATTGGATCAACACTAATTAAAAATGATCAAGAGTCGAGATCTCTTCTAGCACTTCTCATATTAATTCTTATTCTCACACGATTCTTCATCTATTAATTAAATAAATAAAAGGATTTTAGTAGAAACCGAAAAGAAAAGATAAACTTATGAATGCCATAAAATTATTAACTACAGTTCATTTGGGAATTTTGTCACACTTCAATTTTGATTCGTAGTTTTTTCAACGGTCTTTTAATAAAGAAGTCAGATATCTATACTATATTATAAAATATTTGATAAAAATTCTTAAAAACCATTTTTTATACATGAAGTACTATTTATTGATGCATATTACTTAAAATCAAGATTACAAGTAATTGTGCATAAATATAACTTATTAAAGTTCAATACTTGAATTCGTGTAACTAACTACAGATAAATATAATCTAATAGATAATAAACATTTCATTTTAAATATATAAAATCTAATATATAATTAAGATAATCATTATGTTCTAATATAATACTTAATTATTATCTTTATAAAAACATATATTATTAAATAAAAAAATAAATTAGTTCATTATTAAACCTAAATTATACTATAATAAAAGATTAAATTAAATAAATTACAAAAAAAAAAACAAGAACTTTTAAATAGTTAATTTGATACAAATATCGATATATATATTTTCAAAATTTTATGATATCTTCAAATTTATATTTTATTCAAAAATAAAAACATTATTGTTTTCTCAAAACCACATAAAACCGTATTATAATATCGACATGAGACAGAATAAAACGAAACATTTAAATCCAGATGCATCTTGTTGTATTACGTAAGTACCCTTCTACTTCTATATAGTGTGTTTGATGCTTAGACTACATGAAATATAATGGGACAAAAATATAGTCCCATACTTAGCATAACATGGGATAAAAAAAACCTATTTTTAAGGGACAAAAACTGTACTTTTTTGTTCCAATAAAAAAGATGGAATAATATTGAACAAAACATAAAATTACTATTCTATCCTCCTAGCACAACAAAGTCTAAAATTACTACGTATAATAGATAAATTATAAATTATTATATAATATATATTATAATATAATATATATTATTATATATAATTATATAATATATTTTTTAT